TGAATGAAGAGTGAGTTGTTATTGACAACAGTTGCTGTCTCATCTCTCTCCTCTTCCCCCAGTCACTTCCTTAGGGTAGAGTCATTTGTTAGGATAAAATCTGATGCTGTTTCCACTGTACTGTTCCCTTCCTGGAGTGCAGGAGCAACAGTGCTTGGGTAGGACAGAAGGATATGCCCTGCTCCTATGCTGTGCAGCTGTAGCCCTCAGAAAGAATACTTGGCAGAAGACATTTTTGATGTTGGAAGTTGTAAACATTTTTTTTATCACTCAGATACTGTGCCTGTGAACAGCAATGAAACAGGAGAGGTAACGTCTGCTTGGCCTCTCTTTGGCACATAACTCTGCCTCTGTTTAAAAACACCCAGCAGAAAGACTGATGCTGTTATGATAGAGACCTACAGCCAGGCAGTCAAATCTAATCTGTGTGCTGTATAAATATTTCTCTCTTCCATGCACTCCTATTAGATAGTGCTTATCTCTGGCTTTAATCTTGCTTTGTGTTCTGTGCCAGTGCCTGTCACAGACTGTCTCACAGCCCCACTGTGTCTGCCATGTAGTCTAGGAAAGAAGTGTCATGGAAGTGAAGGAGAAGTGTCACCAGACTAATGGAGATGCTGAGTCTCAAGCAGCAGTTCCGTGTAGTGACACAGGGCAGGGATGGTCTCCACTCAAATCTGGTAAGCTGTATTCTGATCCACCACTCTCTGTGCAGGAGAAAAAATATCACCTCCAGGAACGTGTGGATAAGGTGAAAAAGAGGGTGAAGGATGTAGAGGAGAAGTCAAAGGAATTTGTCCAGAAAGTGGAAGAGAAGAGTATTGATCTCATTCAGAAGTGGGAAGAGAAGTCCCGGGAGTTCATCGGCAATTTCCTGGAGATGTTTGGCCCGGAAGGCGCATTGGTAAGGAGTTGCTCTGGGAAAAAGGGAAAGGGGACTTTGAAGACATTAACAGACATTGTAGGGCTTCTACAGAGTCTGCAGAGGAAATGTTTGGCATTCGTTGCAGTGCTCAGTGTACTGCCAGTCTCCAGACAAGTTGTCCCAGGCTTGGGCAGCTTGTTTTCAGGGAGTACTCATTGCCATTGCCAACAAGATAATGCCAGTTACATTGTAGAGTGAAAAAACTCCCCTGTCCCGCAAGCTGGCCTGTAATCTCCAGTTTGTGCCTTGCTGACCACTGCTGAGCTGCCAAGAGGATGATGGTCACTTATTCATTGGGCTAAGATGAGTCTGAAGCTACTTGTTTATGCCAGGCTTTCCTGCACTGTTGGGTGACTATCACAGTGCTTGAAAATTAGTGATGATTACACTGTGTGCAGTTTCCAAAGCCCAGAAAATGCTGGGGTTTTTTCTGCTCTTAAATAGCATGAAGTTCTGAAGGGGCACAACTCAAAATGCTGCACAGGCTGTAAGTAGTGTCCATTTCCATGACTGTGTAACCCATGCTAACTGTCCTCCTGCTTCCCTCACCAGAAACACATGCTGAAGGAGGGCAAGGGCCGGATGCTGCAGGCCATCAGCCCAAAGCAGAGTCCCAGCAGCAGCCCCACACATGACCGCTCCCCATCTCCCTCCTTCCGCTGGCCTTTTTCCACCAAGACTCCTCCTTCCTCACCTGCCAACCGCTCCAGGAACGAGTCTGCAGTCACCTATGACATCAGTGAGGATGAAGAGGATTAACCTACCTGCCAGGATTTGCTGCAGACCGCTAATCGCTGAATCCTAAGTCCAGACCCACTGGGGAACTCTAAATGAGCAAGAGAGCCATAGGAGCAGGGCTGATGGTGAGCACAGGGCCTTGGAGGTACCCGTTGCTCTTAGCAAGGGCTGCTGCCTGGAAGCACATTCAAACCTCCTCTCCCTAAATCCCCTTTTTATTGTTTACGTTCTAGCGGTTTCCAGGGTGAAGATGGTTTTTATATTTTAAGGAAATATTTGTTAAAAGGACAAGGAATAGCACTCAAGTGTGGCTTTTGGTTTGGTTTCTTTTCCCTTGTTAAACCTTCAGGCAAGAGGGAGAGTGGGAAGACCCATCTGTCTCTTCTTTCCTTCAGCTCCTCTGTCTTATCCCCCCCCACCCCCAGGCAGTATCTGTGCCACTGCCAAACGAAAGACCCCTCAGTTCCTCAACCAGCATGACCTCGAGAGCATGCACAGAGCAGTGGTGTAATGAGGCTTCTAGGAAATAGAGAGATCCCTGCTGGGCTGGAGCTGATAGGAATCTATCCAGCAGACCCTGTACTGCTTGCATGCCTCTTAACTGAGCTTCCCAGTGTGTTGCAGTGAGGACGTGCTGGGCAGGGGATACCAGCTTGGCACGCAGGAGTTACACCCGGGAAGGACTTGCAGCACTGTAGAGTGGCATACCCCATAAAGTGCACAGCATTCATAGCTCCAAAGAGTAGAGGAGCTTCAGGGGAAGGGCCTTTCCAGCTAATCTTAACAAGACTGCTAAATCCTGAGTTAAAATTGAGCTCTCAGTTGCTGTTGGAGAGAAGAGAATGAATCTTTGCTTCAGGGCATTTGCTGTCTTGCATTTCCTTGGGTGTGTGAGAGCCCAGGTAGGAAATGAATGTGTCTAGTCTTTTGAGAAATTCCTTGTTCCAGTCTGTGGTGTGTTACACGTTTTAGTGTCTGTCCAAACGGTCCCTCAGCACTGTGCTCTGTGTGTGTTTGTCTGTGTTTCAGCTGCTGTGCTCTAGGGGCTGGAGGAGTCCTTCACACTGGTGCCATGAAGTCACTGCTCTAAGGGCAAAGCAGCCAGTTTGCTGCTGATGTCAGTGTGTGCAGCTGGACAGATGAAGGGCCCCAGTTCTGTGTGACAGTTACCTGGCTTGTGCAGTACATGCACAAATCCATTCCTGCTCACTCTGCTCCACGAGGCAGGATGGAAAGAGCATCAGAGAGTGCTGCAGCTTTTTAAGGTTATTTAAACGCATAATGCTTGTTTGAGTCCATGGTCCAAGTTGTGCCTGCTGTTGTGTCTGTGGTACACACTGAGCTTTGTGGCCTGTGGCTCCCCAAGGGGGCTTGCCCTCCTTATGGCTGAGCAGAGCAGGTCGGTGTACCCTGTCCTGCAGCCAGCACTGGAGGAACTGGCCTTGCTCTCATGTAGCTGTGGAGCTTTTCTGCCAGTGTTTGCCTCTGATACCCACTGTCCCTGGGTGGAGCTGCTGGGCTGAGTTGCCTGTATCCTGTGGTGCTGGGAACAGAGGACAGCTCAGAGCCCTGTCAGCAATGCTGCCGGGAGGTGTCCAGAGCAGGATGTGAGGCCTGGGGAGCAGCACGTGCAAGGAAGAAACTCATCAAGTGCTGCCACGAGCTCTGCGCACTGTGGTGGCCCCGTGATAGGAACAGACTGCAGCTTCTTTCCTGCTTTTGTCTTGGTGGTCTATTGTCACGCTGCCCAAAGGGTTTGACAGACATTATGTGCTTCTCTTAAAGCCAGAACCAGTATGGGAAAGGGTATTTTGGGGATCACTAATCTGCCACTTGGACCTCTTTCAGCAGGGATGTGCGCAGCTGTGGGAGCATGGCTGGCTGCTGTGGATTTTAAACTGTAAGGAGCAAATAACAGTCACGTGCTAGAAGCCAGTTGTTAATCCTCTGGTTTATAAGTGGTAGAACACTTACTTTGTATCAACCACGTTGTCCCTTCCCTCATTGTCCCTTCCTCACCCTTCTCTCAGTATGGATGTTGGGTTGCTTTCCTGAGCCAGATCACAAAGGCCAGGCTGCTTTAGAGCCTTACTACTGTTTTGAACACAAGTTATGCAATAGTGTTCTGTAAGTTTGAGTGGTGTTCTGGATGGTGGCTTGTTCTGCAGAGACCTTAACAGACTTGGTCTCTCTTCAAAATCTGGGGTGCTTGGTAAGAAGCCAGCCATGGTTTTACATGTAGCTTGGAATAATAGAGCTGTTTCTTGTAACCAATAATCTCTGCTTCCTCCTTGCACTGAAATTAAATTGGACACTGAAATCCCAGTCTAGTCCTTTATTTTTACTTTGTTTTGTTTTCTCCTGGATTGCTGGACCAGTCTTCTCCAGCACTGTCATGTTTTATCAGGAATAGATAAGAGCTTGATCTTTCAGCAAAACATAAGCCAAGTTCCCCAGGATCATCTCATTTCCACAGATACACCCAGTGCTGCTGTTTCAGGGCTGTTCTGCACACCTCTAAGCCATCCATCACTCTTCAAAAGAAGCATCCAGAAAAGACATGAAGTAAAAGGTCCAGTGGAAAAACAAAAGTTTACTAGCATGCAGTGAAGAACCCTGTGGAGTTTGATGCTGCCAAATCTAGAAGCCTCTACTCATGTGAAACAGCCCTGTTTCACTTCCTCTGTAGAACTGGGGTGAGCCCCTGGGAAAAGATTTTCTGATGGCAGAGAACAGCAGCAACAGGACGGAACTGAGAAGTACCAGGGATGGTGGTAGAAGCAAGAGCATTGGAGAATGCTCTTGCTTTTTTTAACATGTGATCTGCTCATTTGAAACCATGATCTGAGTTGTGTTTCTGGCATCTAATGAACACTTGGGGTCAAAAGATTACCCAGTTGTTTCTGCAAATTGTCATTGCTCCTGATGTCCGTCCCCGTGTCTAGAGCAGATACTGGTACTGGACCGAGGCTGCTTAAGGCAGCATTGACTAATTGCCAATGTTATTAAGGTGTTTTAAGGCTTCTTCCTTTGCCTGGCACCTAACTGGCAGGTGTGGATGCTCCCTGTGTGCTTTCAGGAGCAGCCAGTCCCACGGAGAACAGACCCCAGGAACAGGTCAGACCCGTCCTGATATCTTGGGAGAAATCACCATTGGCCGGGGCTGCCTTGGCTGTGGGACCCCAGCCAGCAGCACCCAGAGCTCAGTGTCACAGCTGGATGTTGGGCATCCCATAATGGTCCCATGCTTGGCTGTGTTAGTCTGGGCTCCATCCTCCTTCCCCTGTATGGAGTCGTCTCCCACCCAGTAACATGAAGTCAGTCACCAATGCAAGACTCTAGTAAAAATTTATCTTTACTCAGTGCTAGACAAGAGCCCCAGGGCTGGAGGTGGCTCCATGGACCCCCTTGACTTACGGCTTTTAGGTTTCAGACCCTTTCATTCTGTCCCAAGATGCTCTTTCCCCTTCTGCCTCTTCTGCTGCCAGCAGCTCCCCAAAGGCAGGGGAGGAGGAGAAGGCTGTGCAGGGTAGACCAGCCCCTCACCCCGCTCTGCCCCTTGGCACCCCAATTTTTCCCCCCTGCTCATGCTTTGACGTTGGCACCTGTGGGTGCGAAGCTGACGGGCTGGTAGCCCGGCTTGTCATCCTGCTTGCGGTAGTACATCCGCGTCAGCACCGCCAGGATGAAGGTCTGCGGGATCAACAGCTGCACGTTCATCTCTGGAAGAGGAGAAGGGACTTTTGAAGCTGCCCTCACCCACCATGCCCACCCCTATGCCATGCCACTGGCTGGGAGCATGTGCTGCTGCTCTCTCATCTCCCTCCTTACGCTGTGACCTGGCCTTGGAGGAGAAGGGCGGCGAGCAGGCGATGCTGCCGTTGTTGGCCAGGATGCTGAAGATGGCAGGCTGGAGCGCCGTCAGGAGGAGCAGGATCTGTGAGCACCAACACCCCGCTGTGAGGGCCGTGCTGCTGCCCGGCTCTCAGCCTTCACCTTCCCCGCTGTGCAGCCAGCGGGGCTCTCGCCCAGCAGTGGCTCCTGCCCCACCATCCTTCCCTCATGCTGCCTCACCCTGTCAGTGCTGCAGGAGCCCTCCCCTAGGAGGGAGCTGGGCAGGACAGGGTCTCACCTGAAAACAGGTGAACTTGGCCTGCATGTTCTGCTCAGCCAGGTGCAGCCGGGCCTGCCGGAAGAGGATGCCCAGGCCCCACAGCCCAAAGAGGGCAGAGGCACCAATCAAGGTGTTGATCCAGAGGGCCACGCTCTCTGCTGAAATCTGAGGGGGACACACAGAAAACATTACTGGGCTGACAAAGTTCATGTGGAGGCTTCCTGTCTAGGTCATCAACCTGCCCATCCCTGTGCTCTGGCACTCACGTCAGCAGGGTTGTAATTCCCGTCGGTGGCCAGGATCAGCCCCAGGAAGACAGCGACTGCCTTGAAGAAGGCGTACTGGAAAGTCCCCAGGATCATCAATTTAAGCTTTTTCCTGGCATGGTGAGAGAGACCAGTAGCACTCTTAAGTCCCCCAGTCCCTGCCCAGGGAATTCTCTTCCAGCCCAGCAGAAGCATGGGGTGGAAGCCCTCCAGGGATAGAGGTTTATCCCACCTCCCCTTCACCTGCTCATCGTGATTCGGGGCAGACAGGGGCAGCAGCAGCAGCAGGGCCCAGTGCTGAGCACCATGGGCACATCCTTCAGGGTGCTGAGCAGTGCTTCCTTCCCCCCAAAGCCCTGCACCATGACCAGCATCATCACGTAGAAGCAGACGGCGAAGTACCTGGGGAGGAGGAGGAAGGCAGGTCAAGCCGTGTGGGCTCCATGGTGCCCTGCCCCAGGGTGGGTGATACTCACGCCGTGGTAGCCATCTCCACCACCATCATGGAGCGCGGGAACCACAGGCCAAAGCAGCTGACCACTGACACAACCTGGGGGACACGAGAGCTTGGCACACTGACACTCCCCCTCCTGTGGGCTGGCACCCCTTGGGTGACCCTGGCTCCCCAGGGTGATGCCCCCCAGCACCCCCACAGCCCAGCTCACCGTAGGGGCTGAGCTGCTCCAGCAGAGGGTCTTCATCTTGATAGGGCAGCGGATCTTGCGGAAGAGGTACGAAACCTCTTCCACGTAGATCACAACCGACAGCAGTGTCATGATGGTGCAGAGGCCCAGGATGATGAGTTGGGCCATGTCCAGCTCTGCCAGGGAGGGGTGAGAAGCTATCTTCATCCTGTCTGGTCCCCCCTGGGGCCACTACTATAGGGAGCTGCCCCTCAACCCAGCACTCCACAGGTTTAGGAAGCTCTGTGCCATGCCCTGGACATGCCTGTCTATGCCAGGGCTGGCCCTTCTGCGCCACTGTTCCCTGTTCCATGACACCTGCCCCAGTGCTGGCTCTTCCTGAGCTGTCCCCATCCCTACAGGCAGGACTATGGGATGGGAGGCTGAGACCCTGGCAGCAGCCCAGTTTATGACTTCTGGGGCTGCCCCGTGTCTGCACTTGCCATGGCCACTCTACACCACCTTCATCCCTGTCCTGCTCCCATCAGCGAGAACAGGAGGGTCCTCCCCACCCCGTCCCCCCACCTACGGTGCAGCAGCTGCCCGGAGGTGGGCGGCAGGGAGAAGCAGGCTGCCGGCACGCTGAAGTTCCTGATCAGCATCTCCACCAAGGGGCGGGAGAACCTGCGGAGCAGAACCGGGAGTGCTGCAGGGAGCCACAGGGACGGGGGGACACCCGGCCCCGCAGGGTCCGAGCCTGGCTGCTTCGCCTCACCGCCAAGCGCCTCCCTTCCTTTCCAGAGGGAACGAATCATCCAAAGTTGCGATCCAAAAAGTTGGATTTGCCCGGCTGCAAAGCGGCACGGGAGTCTCCAGCGCTCACCTGGGGTCATCCGCCAGCTCCAAGGTGGGATCCATCCTGTTCGGCTCCTCGCTGCCTCCGTCCCCGTGGCTGTGTGACCGCTCGTCGCCGCCTGCCTCAGCTCGGGGTCAGAGTCCCCAGGGCAGGGACCGCGGGACGATGCCGCGCCTCGTTCCAGTTTAACCAGAGCCTCCAGAGCCTGCCTCCCTCTGCCGCAGCTGCGGGCACCCATTGGCGTGCCCCACGCCGTCCCGGCCCACCGAGAGCTTTGGCCACCCGGTTATCGACCCGGGGTGCCGGGAAGGCGATTGTCACCCGCACCGCCTGCGTGCCGCAGGGCCCGGGGACAGCGCACCCGGGCTGGGCTGACCCCGCCGGGCTGACCCGCGGACACGGCTGCTGCTGCTGCTGCTGCGGAGGCCCCGGGACGTGTCCCCGTGTCCCCGTGTCCCCGTGTCCCCTCAGCAGCAGTGGCGGGGTGGGTGGCACGCCTGTCAGCCCCTGCTCTGCCCTGCGGGCCCTGGGAGGACTTTGGGTGGCTCAGCTCCAGGGAGCCCTGCACGGAGCAGCTCCCGGGGCACTAGAGGGCAGGGCTGGCCCGGCGCTCAGAGCCTTGGCCTGGGCACAGCGGCAGCGCCCGGGCCGGGGCGGGACCAGGGGGTCGGAGGGAACAATATGGGTGGGGAGCTGGGGGCTTAGGCAGGAGAGCATTGTCTTAGATGGATCCCAGAATCCTCATGGGTTCCAGGGCTGTCCACGGCTCCCAGCCCTTCAAGGAAAATGATTTCTGGTTTCCACCGGCTCTCCTTGGAACCGCTACCCTTTGCCCCTCTGGCAGGGCGCTTCTGCTGCAGCCAGAGTGGCACCAGGGCCCCAGGTGGATGCTCTGCACCTTGCTGTAGGTGCAGGATGCTGCTGTTGTCATGGGGTGGGATGGTGGGGAGGAGCCGGGAGGAGGGAATGGGTGTGACCCTTTCAGTGAGGAGGGAATGGGATGAGGGAGGAGGGAGGTCTGTGGGGACTCTGTGCATATCCGAGGTGCTGTGCACACCTAGCCCTCCCCTCCTCTCAGCCCCATTAACCAAGCCCCGTATCCCTGTCCCTATACACTGTACATACTCTTTCCTGCCCTATATGCTGTAATCTAACTTGGAACAGTGCATGATGCACATCCAGCCCTCTGCACTCACATTCTCTCACACAATTACCCACACCTTGCACAAGCAGACCCCTCAGCATGGCTGCTCCTGGCCCCGTGGCACGCATGGGACCAATGGCGGGCCCCCACGCAGCACCCCTGCATCACTAGCATTGCCTTCTGCTGAAGAAACGCATCAGCTCCTGTGACATCTGCTGTGCTGGCCTTTATGTGACAGTCACTTCAGGCTATGTCATGGCAGTCCTGCTGTCCTGCTCATCCACCTGGTGCTCATCTCCCTGTGGTCCATCAGCACTGGGGCGATCTGCACGTATCCCTGGCCCCAGGGAAGCAGAGCCCAGCCCCAGCACAAAGCCACACATGCTGCATTGCCCGGACATGTGCAGAAGCCTCTTCCCTGCCTGGCGTAGCCCCAGGCCAGCACCACCCATGGGTGCCTGCTGCACGGGGGCACGTGGCAGTCCCCTTGCCCAGCACACCTGTGTCTGGCTGTCCCTGACACAACTGCTGTAGCACCACGATGATCCTTCTTGCACTCAGGTAGTACCTGAGCCTGACTGAGCCCTGGTCCCCTGCATTCCCCAAGCACAGCACACCCCGAGGTGCAAGGTACAGCTGTGGGGCATGGAGCAACCTGCCAAGCCGTGAGGGGATGCAGAACATGGCCAAGCCCAGAGCACAGGACAGCCCCACACATTGATGCTGTGCATGAGTGAGCCCAAGCACACATGCACATGTGTGCAAGGAGGGCTCCATTGCTGCACACACTCCCTCTGCATCCCCGCTGGGGCTGGATGCACCAGTGACACCCACAGCACTGACCCACCTGCACCAGGCCCCCAGCCCCATCACCATGCCCAAGACCACCCTGCATGGGGCCAGGACACACCCACACACTGTTGTGCTGTGGACAGTGCACTGGGGGTGTGGTGTCACCCCAGAACTGTCCCCTGGGCACACGGAGGGCTCTCGCCCCTGCAGCCCAAGGTGCTGAGCCCTCCCTGTGCCAGCAGGACAGGACGTGCCTGTTCCTTGCTTGCTTCAACCTGCCCCAGGAGCTGGCGGAAATGGGTGTGGAGAGGGGGAATGCAGTGGGATGGGATAGCCCAGAGTCCCTCCAACTTCTCCTTTATTCCAGCCCCTGTCTATACCTGGCATGTATGGTCCTGAAGCCATCAGGGCCCACAGCCACCTTGTTCCCCAGTCAGCGTTCTCCACACAGGCTGCTACCAAAGCCAAAAGCTGGCAAGTGAGCATCCCCTGGCATGGACATGGGGGGCAACAGATGGGTCAGGCTCTCACCAGCTCTACCTCAGCCCCAGACCTCCAGGATGCTCCAGGGCAGAGCAGCCACAGGGACTCCCTTTCTTGCCAAAATCCCTTTCAGCAGAGAAAAAAAAAGGAACACAGAGATGGGAGCCATATACCCACCAAACCAGGGTAAGGGGTGGTTGTAAGGTTTGTGGTCCATTCAGCATCAGGGTGGCTGTTTTGCCCCAAGGAGCTGGCAGAGAAACCTGCAGCAGTGCTGGAAATTCTCCCCATTTGCTCGTTTAGCTTTTTTAAAAAATTATTTTAAACAAAACTCTTTGACCATGGAAATTTTGTTTCCCTCTCCCCTCCAAAAAAAAGCCAAGCTGACCCTCTCAGCATGCCAGCCCACCCACACTGCTGCTGCATCAGCGTTCCCCAATACTAAGAAAAGCCCTTAAAATGCAAATATTTGGGGTTTAGACAGTTTTCTACCCGTCTCTAATTCCCTGTGGAGGGGCTGACCTCAGTGGGACAGCAGGCCCCAGCTGACCATCACCACCTTCCCATGGCCGGGACATGGCAGGGAAGAAAACTCCTCATTTATATCCTTGGTAGGAGCTGGTAGGAGACCAAAGCACATTCCTTCTCATACTCTCCTCTCCCACCCAGAGCCTGAGGCCACGGGGATGATTGGGATGCTGAGTGAGAACCCCACGCCCAGCTCAGGCTGTGGCACAGCCAGACAAGGGGACGATAAAGATCTGCACCCCGAGCTTTGGGGGATCCGTGGTCACTGCTGTCACGGGACACAGAGGGACAGAGCAGCCAGGATGCTCCCTGTCCCAAGGGACCTCCCACAGTCTGCCCAGCCCCTGTGCCAGGCAGGACCAGCCCCCTGAGAGCATTGGCACCCCATAGCATGGGGGGGTGTCTGGCACCCACCTCTGGGGAAAACCGCACTCCACAGGCACCTCTTCAAAGGGATGCCCATGCTTTCCATGGCCACAGATGATGTTGTTCCCCACACTCCTGGGGTTTAGGACAGAGTCAGCATCCCCAGCAGCACTCTGCCAAGCCACTGGGAACAGGAGGGTAGGCACAACTCGAGAAATAAATAAAACACAAAGGTCTATCAGATTTGTGAAAGGAAAGTCTTTTCCAGGGTGCTGGCCCTTTTGAGTCCCCCTCAGCCCTGCAAGCATCTCCTTGGTGAGGAAATTGCTGCTGAGAGTTTGGTGGAAGTGGATGAGGGATGTGGATCCTGCTGGCAGTAGTAAGACTGCTGCCACCGTCTGCCTTCAATTTTCCAACAAAATCCACAACTGTCCAGCTCGATGGCCTTGGCTGGACCCCGGCAAATCTGTCAGTGTCACACCAACACTGACACAGCCACCAGGCAGAGAGGGGTCCCAGAACTTTGAGCATCCCCTTGCAATGGTCAGTGTGGGGCAGTGACAATGCCCCCAGCCCTGGCCCCAGCACAGCAGGAATGAGTCTGGCTCCCCTCAGCCCCAGGTCAGGAGCCGCCCCACTGATAGGGATGGCAGGGAGCCCTTCCCTCAGCTGGCCCATAGATAAGGCCCATGTGTTCCCCACTGATTGCTCCAGGAGGCAGCTGGAGGGGCAGGAGCCACCATTCCTGGGAGATATGGCCAGGAGGGGCAGTGGGTGAGGAGGGCAGGGGGGCTGCTGCAGGAGTGTGAGGCATTGGGCCCCTCTGGATCCCTTCTCAGGGCAAGTGAAGGTGCCCAGGCTGCCCTGACAGCACAGCTGGGGCTCCTGGCAGGGCAACAGCCCTCCAAAAATCCTCCCCTTTCCAGTGGGAACCAGTCCTCTGCTACTGGAAAACACTTCCCAGTGCCCTGCAAACCCACAGGGCTGCATCACAAGCTTGCTGAAAGGCAGAGACAGGGACCCCACCATACCTCAGTTTCCCCTACTGTAAAATGGGGCATGAGTCCTGCAGCATGAAACTATAGAGGGTTCAGTCTCTCATTGCTCTGGTGCCTAGGGAAAGATCCATGCCAGGTGGTTTTTATAGACCAAGCTGGCATTTTAGAAGAGGGGGATACTGTCCTGGAAGCCATCTGGCTGCCTCCAGTCTCTGCCTCAGGAAAAATGCTGGCCTTGGAGAGGTTTGGGGTAGGAATCCTTCCAGCTGCAGCTTCCCCTTCTGGGCAGGGAAAATCCCCTTTTCCCAGCACAAGGCAATCAGAATCATTCCTGTTAGAGCCCCCAGATCCCACGTCTCCTGCCGGGCCATGGGTGATGGGACACTGCCAGGGGGTGGCCGTGGGGCAGCGATGGTGGGGTGAGAGCAGCAGAGTGCAGCACACAGGGGAGCACAGGGCAGAGCTGGGGATTTCTGCTAACCAGAACAGATCACTGTTTCAGCAGAAAGCCAGCCCCGGATGTCTAACCTTCTCCAGAAGCAGAAGTGCTGCAGAGGGTGTGTGGGCAAAATCTCCCCATGCTGCAGCTCTCAGAAACATTGCTCTGCCACAGCTGGGGGACCAACTCCTGTGCACAGCACTGCGACACCCCCAGGGACCCTCCTGTCCCTTCCCTTACAGGTCTGGGTGCCACCACAGACACTGCCAGCCTGCCTAGGCTCCCATGCTGCCAGGCTGGGAAGAGAAGTGAGACATTGGCACAACCAGGATGTCACTGTGTCTGTCCCAGAGCATCTAAAGGGGTCACCCCACAGGGAACTGACTTGTGAACCCTCAGCAGCCCAGCTGCAGTTCAGGTCAGCAAGACACCTCTTCCCAAAACTGCTGAGATCATTTGACCATGTGCAATGCCCAGCATTCCACAGGTCATCCCCCAGACAGAGTAGAGGAAGATGATGGTGGGGCCTGTCCCTGGTTTGGGAAGAAGGGGAGCCCACCATGAGAAGAAAGAAGCCCAACAGAAGCTGGATGAAACCTTTCTGTGATCTGGATCGAGGCCATCAGAGCAGCTTTGATGGCCCCAGCCTTCTCCTCCTGTTTCAACAGAGCCTCACAGATGGGGTACCTGATAACACCCCCGTCTTCTGTCCACCCCTTTCTGTTTGCTTTTCCTCCCAGCCGCTTCACGTCCGATGGCGCTGCCCTGGGCCAGAGGGGAAGTGACCCAGCTGTGGGGCTCAGCATGATGGGGGCTTTGTGTCCTTCAAAGGGGATGAACAAACAGCCAGTGGTCCCAGCCTGGCTGGGGGGATCCTGCGGAAATACCACAGTCAACACTCTTGGGAGCTGCCTCCTGCCCGCTCCAAGGCTTTGGATCCAAAGAAGTCTTTTCCTGCCGTAAGGTAACATCTGCATTTCCAGTGGGTGTCCCAGTGACATGCCACTGGTTTCTTAGAGCCACCCCCAGCCTCTGAATGAAAAGACACCTTGTTTGAAAAACAGAGGGGCCTTTTTCTGCTACAGCTACCTAAAGTAACCACGCCACTCCTGATGTTTGCTTTTGGTGAATGACGAAGTTAACACACCCTCTGAGTGGGCTGTGAGCGTTTTCTTTGGTCAGGAGCTTTATTTTCATACTCGTCTGTCTTGCAAAAACCTCACAAGGGAAAATGCTGAAGCTTTAAAAAGTCAGATGGACAGTAGAGACACTGTGTTGTGGAAGGGAGGTGCTGCTCCCTTGATGACCCTGAGCCTTCCCAGATCTGTGACACTCACCCACCAGGCTCAGCCACCCCACGGGGTCACTCACAACCACCTGAGTCAGGCATAGGGAGTAGTCCCACCTGCTCAGGGAAAGCCTTCAGCCCTTGGTGGGACTTCTTCAGCTGTCCCCGAGTGATTCTGCCTCCCAATGCAGGTGGGAAAGCATCCCAAGTGCAGCTCAATGGGAACAAAGAAAAACACCTTCCCTTCCCTTCCCTTCCCTTCCCTTCCCTTCCCTTCCCTTCCCTTCCCTTCCCTTCCCTTCCCTTCCCTTCCCTTCCCTTCCCTTCCCTTCCCTTCCCTTCCCTTCCCTTCCCTTCCCTTCCCTTCCCTTCCCTTCCCTTCCCTTCCCTTCCCTTCCTTCCCTTCCCTTCCCTTCCCTTCCCTTCCCTTCCTTCCCTTCCCTTCCCTTCCCTTCCCTTCCCTTCCCTTCCCTCCCTCCCCTCCCCTCCCCTCCCCTCCCCTCCCCTCCCCTCCCCTCCCCTCCCCTCCCCTCCCCTCCCCTCCCCTCCCCTCCCTCCCCTCCCCTCCCCTCCCCTCCCCTCCCCTCCCCTCCCTCCCCTCCCCTCCCCTCCCCTCCCCTCTACCAGTGCCAGGCCCACACCAAGGTGCTGGAGCAGCACTAGGAGAGGTGCTCATCACACTGGGCCCCTTTGCCATTTTTGCATCACTGAGTAATAAATAAAACCTCCAAATTTACATCTGCCATGAAAGCCACCAGGACATGCACAGCAAAGAAAGGTGCCCCGAGCAAGAGCCCAGCCCTGCCATGTGTGCATCCCAAAGGGTGCCTGCCAAGACAGAGGGGGACAGGCAAAGCTTTTCTTCCTCACAGCCTACCATGGACATTTGCCCTTGAAGGGGATCTGGGGGGACAGTGCCTGCCAGGGAAAGGACGCTGTTGCAGGGCAGAGCAGCAGGCATGGGAAGGTCAGCAATTTGGCTGAGGCACAGGCTGCTTGTTCCAAGAGCTGGGAGAGTCACAGACCTTCTCCAAGCACACCCCCCCACCCCCCCACCCCCTCCCACCGGGGGATTTGCCCTTGAGGCACTGACCTGGTTCTTCTGTCCCAGGGAAAACAATTCCAGACTCACTTTATCACTTTATACAGACAATGTCTGTTGCCTGCCCATGCCTGGCAGTGGGGCCTGGCTGCAAGATACAGCCCATGGGTTTCAGCTCAGCCCCTGGGACCTCACAACAGCACAAGAGAATGGCATGAGCCCCCCAGAGTCATGTCAAGCACCTGAGTGATGGAAGAATCCCCTCCCTGTCTGCAAGAGACGAATGAAGGTACCCTGGTTTGAACACCACATCTCATTCTCTGCTGCATAAATGAACCTACAAGGCACATGGCATCCCCTGGGTCCCCATGGCTCAGAGCTGCACACAGCAGCCAGGGGCAGGTGTCGCAGCTGCCACCAGTGCAGAGAGGAGGCAATTAGCAAGTAGTGAGAAAGCTCCTGCTCTCCCTGCTCAGCCCCACTGTGCTAATCCCACCCCAATTAAAGCCCCCTCTTTGCTTTCAGATATTGTTATGAAAGATTAATCCACCCTAAAACAAGGTATTTCCAGCAGGTCAACAAGACAAAGCCAACTCTCAGTTTGCAAAAGGCTCTGGCACCTGCCTGGGAGCATTTAATTACCCTGACAATGGCATCAAGAGAAGAAGGGCCATGAGACCCCTTCAATCACAAATCCACAGAGGAGGCATCACTTTGCCTGCTGCTCCCACATGCCTGGGGCCGGCACCTGCAGGCTGCAGACTCGCCCCAAGAGCAGGACCATCATCCAGCCCTCTTAGGGACGCCTTTTCTCCCTCAGAGCCTGCAATGCTACACATGGTACTGGCTTTTTTATGCCGTTCTTTTCCTTTGTCCTTTGCACTGCTCTTATGCCAATAAATGCACATTATAAAAAAAACAAAGCAGTGGACAGTTCTAATCTCTAAGTCAACATGTGCCCTTATCACAGAGGGTGGTTCCCACTCAGCAGGCTCAGGCTGTCTTTAATCCAAAAGCAGCAACGTGTGTACACACTGCAGAGCAAATCAGAGGCAAAACTTCCCTGGGCTTTCCAGGCCCTTTTGGGAGCAGAGGAGTGAGCAGCCAGGGACTCTTGCAGGACCAGATCCTGCTAGAGAGGTACAGCAGGTACTGCAGGACCCTGCTGGGCAGGCACAAGTCCACTATACCAAGCAGATCACTCCAACCACATCTTCACATCCTGTCATGGTTCTGTTCGAGGCATTGCACAGAGATGTTTCCAAGCCTGTTAAGTAACTGTAAATTTTCTGCTGGCCTTCTTGAGCAAAACACCAAATTGTAGACATACATCTGGTTTTCTAGGATTCTAACCACAAAGTCTGGAAGGGAAAAAACCTCCATCAGCCCTCAGCTGTGGCAAATGTTGATTTAAGAGAAGTGCTTACAAAATTGCACATGAAGCACTTTGCAAAAGTGACCTGCCTGGAGGCGCACTGAAAAAGCAGAAAGAGGAGCTGTGCCCTACGCTCCAGATACGGATCAGCAAGAGCCAGAACAAAGCGGACCAAGGGAACTCATGACAGGCCCATGTTTTCAAGGAAGAGATTCACATGACTGTGAATCCCAGCTCCTGTGTTCTCTCCCCGCTGATTTCTTTTCCCTTTCCACTTCCCCTCACTCAAACCCTGCCGGGGCCAGTCCATGGGTAGCCATCGAAGGCACGGCAGTGCGCAGTGACACAGACCTTTGATGCGCCCCAGGGCGGCCACGCTGAGTCCCCCTGCTTTTCAAAGGCCGGTCCTTGGCTATTGTGTTCACATCCTGAGCTTGTTTGTACACTTGCTGCAGGGCCCGATCCCTGCAGCCCCCCTGCCACGGCCCAGCCGCCCTGACCCAGATAAAAGCGGGGCAGGGCCGCTATCAGGGCGCGGACACGCGGCACCGTCCGAGCTGCGGCCGCCGCGATAGCGGAGCCAGGCCGGGCCGGGCCCAAGGCTCCGGGTCAGCGGCGGCCCCGCAGAGCTGCACCGGGCCTGGCTGTGACCAGGGCACTCGGGCAGCTGCCAGCAGCGTTATCAGCGCCCTGCACGCCCAGGGGTGTCCTGGCACTGCTGCTCTCCCCCTCTGCTGCCCCTGGAGAGGACCAGCAGCTTGCCAACAGAGGGAACTGCCAGGCGGCAAGCGACACCCAAGCTGCTAAAGCTCTTTGATCATCGCCTCAGCACGCCCAGCACCGAGCTGGGTAACAGTCCACCCTCCTCCCTATAGGTAAGGTAAGGTGGTGCAAGGAGCACACCGTGACTTGGTGGTTAAAATCCCAGTGAAATCCATCTTTGCAAGCAAGGAAGCCCCGTTAAAAGAGCCAGACTGTTTTAGTCCCACTGGGGCAGTGTCCAAGTATGAGCCTCTCTGCTGGGCCTCCATGTCAGCCCCTGGCAAGAAGAGCAGCAGTAAGGAGCATCACTGCATCCACATCCCTCCTTGTGTGATAGGAGAGATGGGGAGATGAGCCTCCACATTGCAGGAAGGCAAAAAAAACACAAAATCCCAGAGGATTTTGAGGGCATGTTCCATGGGATACCCCAGGAGCGCATCTTTATAGGAGCAAGAGCCCACAGTGTCCTCAGTCCCAAACCTCTCCTCCAGGTGCTTGGTGCTCTTGTCTCCTCTCAGCTAGCTGGTGGGAGCACCAGACCAGCTCCAGGTGCTTCCCCAGAAAGGATGCAAAGACGAGTGTTCTTTTGAAGGGACAACAATGCAGTCGCCAGTTGTCAGCTTTATCCACAGTGTTTTCATTCTCCCAAGTGCCTTTTACTTCACCTCCTCCACAGTCTCTTTGCTACAGGACAAGAAGAGGCAGCAGATCCTCTCCAAGATGCCAGTGCCTGTCACAATCCCTCCCCTTCCTCAGCCTGCATGGCAGCACATGTCAGGGCAGTGGCCAAGGAACAACAGCTCCCAAGCATGGCTGTGGGTGCCTGAATTGCTGGGAGAGCAGGATGGAATTACACTCTCCAAGGCAGTATGATGGCTTTCCCTGAGAGGATCATACCCAACTACTTAACCCACTTTTTGCCAGCGCAATTGAGAAATGCCACAGCAAAAGCCAAAATACATGGTACTCTGGAGGATGGGAATATTCATGGTGTTGTGAAATTCTTGGCTATTGCACTCTTGGCTTGGTGGGACAGGAGGAGAGAGGGCAGGCTCTCCTGGGAGCCCTGCCTGATAGACCTAACCTGGAAGGTTAGGGTACTAGACGGGTTGCAGTATGATTCTGACATTTTAAAAAACTAGATTTCTCAGCTTCCTGGGACCTATAATAGCTGACTGCACCCATGAGGTGCAACCCATGAGGTGACATGAGAGCACAGACAGTGTATCCCTCAAACCCAGGAAGGCTGGAGCTGGCACTGCCACTCTAAATGGCTGGGATCTAGAGGAAGCAGTTGCCATTTAGGAAGATCAAAATCTTTGTTTTGTCCCCAGATGCCTGTTGCCTCTCTGGCCCTGCACCCTGGGGTGCCTGGAGTGCCATATAACCCCTGTTCCATGGAGTGCACAGCCAATGGGAGTCCTATAACCACCTGCTACCCCACAGACCACTGCATGTCCCACAACCCTTGGCCTCAGCCCAACAGCAGATCCAGTCTAGCACCACACTCCCGCACTAGGTTCTCAGCTTTTCCATCCCTTCCAGACTGAAGAGCCATGTTATTTGCAGTATTTCTTGCCATAGAACTGTTCAAGTCACCTCACAAGATAAGTTGCTGGAAAACCGGCTTTTCACAGAATATTCTGAATTGGAAGGGACCAACAACGATCACCAAATCCTGCTGCAAAACTGAAGCGAAACCATGTTTTGATCTCATGTTCTCAGCATCCCAGTGGAAGGACACTGGCACATCACGAGATATTGTACAAAAGCATGTGGAGTCATTTGAGTCAAGTCAGAGGACACATGGACACCTCCTGAAAATAGCCAAATAGTTGGCTTGCCAAACCACAATGAGGAGGAACACCCTGGTGCTGGGAAGACACATCAGAAGTCAGCAGTAACAATCCTACATCCTCTTTCCTCTTCATCTATTTCCCAGTTTCTGCTCTCTGTTCCTCGCAAAGATTTTTGGTTGTGCTGGGCAGCCTGAGCATCTGGGCTCGGCACTGCCAGCAGCACAGGCACCGCTGTGTGAACAGCAGCTGTCCCTGAGACAGGTCACCAAGCACCATAGCCAGCCAGCTCCCTGTCACTTGCAAGGTGAAGGGCGCTCCACTGCTCACGGGTACACAACACTGCCTCTGAGGAACCCTCATTTTCAGGTATTCTACCGCCAAAACCAGCTGAGATGCAAAAACCTCTGAGTTTTTAGAATATCAGCTTTCTTCTCTTTTTCCAGGCACGTGTAGAAATGGGAACTGACTGCTGAGCACAGCGTGCAGCGATTGAGGACGGAAAACACCTGCAGCGCGTCCCTGCCAGGGCGGGCCGGGCTGGCGCAGGCTGGCACCTCCCCTGCCATAGCCGGAAGGGTGGCACAGCCAGCCGAGGCCACGGGGAGGGATAAATCCCATTGCCGCCTCCCTCGCATTGCGACATCGCTCCAGGGAACGTCCAGAGCCCGAGTTTTCCTGCAGGTGTCCCTCCTTTGGCGGCACCTCGGTGTGCACAGGTAAAAGAAGCTGAGGGCTTGGTGGGGGGAGCCCAGGAGGAAGATAAAAAACAGGGCAGAGCTGTGACTGCTTTCCCGGGTTATGCTTTCCTGAACAACAGGCTGCATCCAGGCTGTTGTGGTGAGAAACGATCAGAGCATCCAGCCAGCAGGACTGAGCTAAACTCTTTCTGAACCCTCTTACACCTTGGGCTTCCACCAAGGCACCAGCCAGCACCACGTCCCACGGGTCAGTCACATGCCAAATAACAATAGTTTTCCCTCCCGTGACTGGCATCACGACAACTGGTGAGGGATGAATCTAGAGAAGAGAGAGCCTGGCTCAGACCTCCTCTGGTAAACAGAGCTGGCAGCACGTCTTGCCTGAGAGACACTTTACAGACTTGTCTCCAGACATCCACGGCAAATTTCAGGTCTACTTAATCCCCCTTTTATCAGCGCAGGAATGTATTGCTTTTCACCAAACATAATCCTCTTTGCAATCACGTGTTCTGCCAAACTACAAACTTTCTGCTCCCATCCTTCTTTCCTGGGAGAGGATTTGAGGCAATAATCCCAGCCTACTGATTTATTTTTCTAATGAGGAAGGGACAAATGAACACATTAGTGCAGAACATGCGCACACACGAACCTTGAAGCGTTCTGTAGCTGTGATATATTTTTGAGGGATGCCCTGAGCTAAAGGACTGAGGCTGGAAACAGTGACTGTCTCTCACTGTTTCAGAGATAGCCTGTGTCCTGATGTGGGCTGTCCACACTTCTTGTGTTTAGGAGCTGGAAGACATAATACCTGCCATGCTTCCTCTTCTACAAATAAAATAACAATCTGTGCAGCCCAACACAAAGGAAAGTCACCTCGGGTGTCTCTGCTCATTCAGCTCTAAAAAGGCAGCCCTGAGCATGTGAGACTTGCTGGGACCTGAGGATGCTGAGAGCTTCTCAAGCCAGAGTCTTGTTTGCATCACCCAGGAAGGAAAATATTTTTCCTGCCCTCATCCCTCAAAATGCTGAGAGGATGGGAATGCTGAATCTGTGAGCCGCTCTTTCTTCTACTGTGGTACAAGCATGCCTTCCCACAAAGATTTGTTAACTTCATCTCCCTGCCCCACTTCCAGCCCTTTCTGTGGGGAAGCTGGGACTTCGTATGCAGCCAGTGAAACACATGCCACTTGGAAGTGGGTCCTCCACCGGACCAAGGGCACTTAAAGGCAATTTATAAAGCAAGCAGCTTCATTCTTTATAAAAGAAGTAGGTCGTAGTGAGGAGGGGACCCGTAGTGGGAGGGGACCAGTCTCTTCTACTATGCCTACAGTGAGAGGATTAGAGGAAATGGCCTTTAGCTGAGATGGGAGATTCAGATTAGGAATTACAAAATTGTTTCTCAGTTTCAGGCACTGGAATAGGTTTCTAGAGAGGTGATGGGAGTTGAGGCCCCTGGAGTGAGTGCTTATTGTTTTTCACAATTTCAGGTACTGGAATAGGTTTTTAGAGAGGTGATGGAGTCGTGACCCCTGGAGTGCTCAAAAGGTGCTGGGTCACACGGTTTAGTGGTTGCGGTGGTGATGCTGGGTTGATGGTTGGATTGGATGATCTTGGAGGTCCCCTCTATGATCCTGTGCTTCCTTGCATTCCCTGTGCGCAGCAAGGCCGGGTAGGGCACGGAGCAGGCACACACTGGAGCCCTTGGGCGGGCTGTGCGGACACGCACCCGCAGCAGGAGCAGCGTGAGCGGCCGCGGCGGCAGGAGCGGCCTCAGCCCGCCCTCAGGGCGCGGAGGCGGAGCTCCGCCCGGCTGGCGATAGGGCGCTCGGAGCGGCGGGGCGGGCCCGGGCCGGCTCCGAGCGGCACTAACGTTACGGGCGGCGCAGCGGAGCCCGGCGCGGCAGTGGAGCTGCTGCGGGTGAGCGGGCGCGGGGCCGCGGCAGGCCGGGGAGCGGGGAGGGAGGCGCGGACAGCGGCAGGCGAGGACGGAGGGAGGCGGTGGCGGAGGGGGGCGGCGCGGGAGCGGCGGCGCAGGGGCCGCGGCGGCGCTGGGCCCGGCCCTGGCGGCGCAGGGGCCGCGCCTCACGCGGCGGTGCCCGCGACCTTGGTGGGCTCGGCAGGGCGGCTCGGGCGGACGTGCCCGCGGCCCGCCGCCTATCGCCCGCGCCGCTTATCTGGGTCCGCAGCCGGGCCCTGCTGGCGATAGCGGAGCCACCCAGCCCCGCGGGGCGGCTGCTGAAGCGTGCTCGCTTTCTCGCTTTTGCTTCTCTTTGCCGTGTTTCTGAAAGCTCGCGGCCTGGCTGGAGCGGCTCGGGGAGGCATGGCGCAGCCGGCCAGCATCCCTGCCAGATGCGATGCCCGCAGCCCTTTGTGCTTCCCCGCGTGTTCCCGGGTTTCCTTCCAGCCGCCCGCCACATGCTCGGTCCGCCCGTGCCCTGGCGGGAGCCTGCGGCCTCCGGCTGTCGCTCGGGAAAGGCTGCTCAAATCTGTCGTGGTTTCACCTCCACGTGTTCTTGCCCTGAATAAAAGGTGAAATAAGCAATGGCCACTGTTAACCTTTGATCTCCAAATAAAACCTTGCAGAGCTCCCCGGTGTAGAGCTAATCCACGTGCACCTGAAGACCAGAGCTGCCTATTAGCAGCGGTGCTTGAGGGCATACTCAGGTTGCTTGCTCCCAACCTCAGCACCTGCCTGGTGCTGTGGTGAGTGACCATTGGTCACTCACTAAATTGCAAATCTTTTTCTGAAAGAAATAGAGAAGCAAATCAGTTTCAGTATACCTTTCAGACATGTTTGCTGTTTACAGAGAACTTATACTTTTAAAAGTTGCTGAAATTATTTTGGAAAGATGCTTTTAGCGATTTTCAGAGGTTTTCAAGAATTTGCCTTCACAAAGTTGTAGAGAACATAGCTATGTAGGAGGGATGTTTGTATTAAAAGTGTTTTGTCGGGGTTGGAGTTTGTGCTGCTTTGCCTTATGGCCTTGTGTGACTTCTCTCTTCCAGCTGGGCTCCTCCTGTCATTGAGACAGAGCCCAGGATCCTTAGATATCTATAGAGTCTGTGGTGGTAGTTGAGTAAATGCCTCTTGCCAGAACTCCCTAAATGGAGATGTCCCCAACGTTAATAAGACCCTTGGCTGAACTTAGCCATTGGAGACTGTATTCCTCGTTTATATGCCTGTCAGTATGCCCAAAGTTCAACAAAAAGAGTTGATTGGAGCTTATAATTGCCATGGGAACTTCTAGGTTGCATTCAAGGTTCATGTAGGTTCACTAATGTAGTGACTTACATGGACAAGTATGCACAGAAAATCCACGGGCAAGCTCAGTGCACTAGTGGCAGTAA